ATTGTTAGGCTTATATAATGTAGACAATTGTTAGGCTTATATAATGTGGACAATTGTTAGGCTTATATAATGTAGACAATTGTTAGACTTATTTAATGTAGACAATTGTTAGGCTTATATAATGTAGACAATTGTTAGGCTTATATAATGTAGACAATTGTTAGGCTTATATAATGTGGACAATTGTTAGGCTTATATAATGTAGACAATTGTTAGACTTATTTAATGTAGACAATTGTTAGGCTTATATAATGTAGACAATTGTTAGGCTTATATAATGTAGACAATTGTTAGGCTTATATAATGTAGACAATTGTTAGGCTTATATAATGTGGATAATTGTTAGGCTTATATAATGTAGACAATTGTTAGGCCTATATACTATGTGAGGCCTCGTGGTGAAGTCAGGCACTCGTCAAAATACAATACTGAAATCGAAGAAACAGGCATTTCCCCACCAGTTTTGCAATTTTTATTGAATTTTATGTCTTTTGGCTCAACACCTTTCGTGTCCATATTATAAAAACAAGTTTCAATGTGAATTCTACTGAAAAAACGTTGATCAAAGGCACAAAATGAAATTTTATTGCGTTCAAGACTCTCAACAAATTGAAATTATCAAACTTTGTCGCCATTTTCAAACTTATTTTACCTATGACACACAGAGAACCCATCTTCCTCAATCGTACATATGTCGACTTCTATTGACGATACATGGGAATTTTTTCCAGTGAAAGTAAGGCAAATGAATAAGCTTCCAGATGATGTCAATACCTTCACACGACCAAAAATTTACGAGCGCCTGATTCCATCACGTTGTGAAACATATGACGAATGTATTTTCCTTACCAGCCCGTACTGCCTCGTAGTGCTTTCTTTCCTCCTCCAACTCCCTCTGTGTCTCCTTTTCCTTTTTCTTGTGCTTGCTGGCTTTCTCACTCATCTTTTGGAGCTGCAGACGGAGGTTTTCGTTCTCCTCGTCCATCTCCGATACTCGCCTTCTCATCATCTTAGCTTCTTCCTCGGTAAATTTGAGCTGGTCTGTAAGAGAAATGGGTCGTGGATTATTAACCTTTGTAAAGACACGATATAATAATATATAAGATAAGATAAGATATATCTTTGTTGTCCAGATCCAGGCACATTGTAATTTTTTTTAGCGGCTATAAAATGACAGCTTGCACTGTGTGCTTCCAAGGAAGTTGAAATTGTCTCAGAAGGCTATCAGGTCTACTGTGGTAATAATACACATGTAAAGCTCATAAAGCTTGCTGTTGAGCGGGAATTAGCGCTATACATGATATTATGTTATTAATTAATTAA